CACAATAATGTGTAACACATACAACTTTTAGTACAACCACATATACTCTTCTTAATACATTCTCCTAGAATCCAGGGACCAATCTGGCAAGAGTCTGTTAGGAGAGGGTAGTATAGTAAAGACAGATAACAATCCACTTATAAGCTCTTAAGAGTGAACAGGATATTAGTATAGTATTTGTAAAGCTTGTAATTAACTAGGGTCTTACTGTAGAGTACTGTAGATGTGTAGTAGATAGTAGACATGTGGGGGGAAGCTAGGGGGAGGCTGACAATCTAGTGACACAAGTAAAAGGTAGTAGATGAGAGGTAATCCTCAAATTTTACAATGTTCAAAAAAAAGTGTAAAGGCCAGAGCCTCACTCAAGAACACAGAACAGGCAAAGACCTGGGATTAGAGAGGTTGACCTAAGTATAGGAGCAAGTACAAAGATAATCTCTAAGTGTCTACAAATAGCCCTTTATATACTTAACTAAAGTCATGTGTGTAACCTTAGAGGTTACAACTTACAGTCTATGAAAACAAATGTGAAGAGTGCTGAAATTTGCCAGTAAGTTATCTGAAATCATAATGATTGACACTAGACTGCTAACAGTATAAACTAGAAGTCTAATATGTTGCCTAGTCTAATGTCAAGTCAGTATAATGTATGAGGGGACAGAACATAAAAGGTGTAATACACAGCTACATGGAAGACATGTCTGAATCAATGTCAGCATACACTCTATATGAACAGTTGACTTTATACTGCAAAATATGTTTAACAACATATTTTGTCTAAGGCCAGTGTCTAAAGTAAAATCCCAATGCAAATTGTCTTACAAGTTAAAGTTATACAAGTATCTTTGTTACTCACCAAGTATAATACAGATCCGGCTAAGGAGTCCCATGTAGATATTCCGAATGTCAAGATTAGAATGAGGCAGCTACTGAATAACTTGTAGAAACTCACCACAAAGTAAATCAGACTGATGGGATTTATTGGCTTGCACTTCATTACTACTGTCAAGCTGTATGCTCAAGACATGAGAGATGCTCAGCCTACCCAGAAGTATTTTGCCTGAAAGAACATAGCTCAGCACATGCACAAAAGTTAATGAACAGTTATCAATTCGTTATACCTGCTTGTCAATTGTTATGACTTGAATTATGCTCTCCATCAGTGAAATTCAGATTCAAGGAACTTCATACAGACAGAAGTCGTAGGCCAGGACAATCAAAAGGGCCACATTGAAGTATTGCGAAGTTACCGAATCGGAGACAAACGATTGCACCACACTTGTGTCAATGTCCCCAGCATCAGCCTGAGAGCGTACGAGGAGTGTGAAGGCATGCCCATAGTTGAGAGTTTGGTTCGCCATTTGAATAGAGAGTGCAAGATAGTACAAACCAAGCTGAAGATACACCCTTGACCAGCCATCTTCTTATATTGTCATTGAACTGGACGGGTGACGCGAACGGCTCTTCAACTTCGTCCAAGATACAGGATAACACATTTATGCGGAGTCAGCTTCTATCGGATCCAGTACCCAAGTTATGGGGCAATCAAATATTTTTGCTATGATTGGAAGACGGAACAGATGGGTGTGATTAATGCATATTGAGCGGTTGAACGGAGTCAATGGACAATGACATCCGTGAGCTGCATACAGGTGAGCGGCGGTAGATCCTCCATACAACAGCTTCTGTGGAACTGAGGTAAACTGTCGACTCGATACTCTAATTTACCCTATGGAGTGACTCGCACTCCACATCAAGTATCAAGGATGTATCGGATATCGGATGACCTCCAGTGGCATCAGCTTCGCGTAAATGCACAGTGGAATAGTAACTGCTTCCAATGCTTCCATGGTTCGTACAATACACGGCATTTCATGTTTCGTGAGATGCAAAACATGCATATAGTAAAGAATAACATACTGACTCAATCTCAATCAGCCCTTCACTAGAATAATCGAACTTCTTTGCAGTCTCAATGCTTCGATTGTGTGCCTGTTGCTGTTGAAAAGGAGGGTCAGTGCCGACTCAGCGGCATCATCAAGATAGAATAAAAATGCATGGGATCTTTGGAACGTAGTTTATATTAAACAGATTGTCATTCAGAAGCATAAGCAGTAGGTCTTGAGAAGTTCGGATGTAGAGGTTCATACTGGCATTGTTCCGGATGTCTCTTTTTTCCTACTTGCTAGCCAGATTCGACCTAACTTGGTGACTTGTCCCAACAGGTATGTGCCAGATTAGACTGTATCTATGTCTGCTACTCATCTGTCTGTCCTAGTGACTGTGTAGTCGCGCCAAGTCAGCATATACACATATACGCAGTGTATTATATAATATAATAAAATACAACTGAAACGCAATGGTATAGAAGTGGAACGTTCGGCTCCAGCTAACCAGTACAGTCAATGTCCAATGTATGATGTGTAGTGGATATGAAGATGTATGTCAGGAGAGAGAAAGAACGAAGAAAAGGTAACTTGAGTGACGAGTGTTGAAGGCAGAGAGAAGATGAAATAAATAAGGTAGGACGAACGCGAAAACCAAAGAAGGAGAAAAATAATTATATTTTGAAAACAACTAGAAGAGGACGAAAAAGAAGGCAAATAAGAAAACGATCAATATATGTATGCAAACAAACACATTTCGAGAGTGTGCCAAAGTACTCGGCCAGCGTCAAGACTTTCAGAGTTAGTCTATTTGATTCCACTAGCAACTGCAAACATAATGATGTCATGCATCAGATCTCAGTGGTGCATCAGATCTCAATTGATGTCGTATCTACTCTAAGCCTTACAGCAGTACCGTTTGCCATCATATGTTCAGTTATTATCTAGTTTAGCATAGATGCGTCTTACAGTAAATCCACCACGAGTGGATTTAGCGTAGTTGGAGTTCTGCAAGCGAACTGATTAGTGCTGGTACTCTTTTAACCAGGAAACACATCTCAACACCCTGCCATTTTGCATCATTCTCCTCAGAGTTCACATAGCAGTCTGATCAGGCAAGCATGCATGTTACTTTGCTGCCATAGATATGTTGTATACTGATATATTAAACTCATTCTGGCATTGTGTTTGCATGCTTGTTGAGCTGAGTGGAGATAGATGCAGACTGGGATGTAAGTAGAGTAAGAGTTTTGTTAGCCTCAGGTAGACAAACTAACACTTAATGGTAGATTATATTATGAACTGAAAAACTGAAATATTGACTCACTTGTACTAGGGTCTGCTTGCTAGTCTGAGATAATGAAAAAAAATTGCAAATTGGGTTGCTTATACTAGGATGCAAACTTTACTCAGGGTGTATCTCCTTTTAATCAACTCCACTTTGCAAATGAAGTGATTCTGAAACATATACAATGATAGTACTACTAACACAAATCAAATAGGTATAGATTCAGTACCTGAAAAAGCAAACTCTCTTCTTATATGACCTTAGAGAGCCACTTATAGTAGTAAACTCCTATAAAGGTCCACTACTTACACTACTACTTGTATCTAATAGCAGTGTCACATTACACTACTTTGCTCTACTACAATCTTGTAAGAACAGTCTACATTAGTATAAACAACCCAAAACTTCAAAGAAACCCTCTCTCTATCAACTACAGACAGTCACAGCTTCTTAGTACTTTTCTTAATTATAATAACTCTACTCAAATCACAAGCACAGAACACAACAAATGAGTGATGAGAATATTAGTACTATTAGAAGTAAAGTTGAGAAGCAACTAGATGATTGTATGTTTCTTCTCTGTTAGAGATATGTGCTAAAGAACATTCTCTAAGACATAAGGTACTTTAGATAAAACAGTTACAGAACAGAAGCACAAGGGTCTCCATATTAGAGAGTTTACAATTATACCAGATAATAACCCATCTGAACAATTTACAAGAATTGAAGGTATGTAAATCTAACTCTATATTGTAGTAATATTTAAGTAATAACAATAATCATTTTATTAATAGTTAGACAAGGTAATAAGAAATACTGGGACACTCCTGATTTTGTAGCTGAGCATAAAAATCCTGTAAAAGCTTATAAATATATGGATCAAATACTTTGGGATGCAACTGAGAACAAAACTGTTTATACACCAACCTAGTAGCTACACATAATATCCTGATATAGACTACCTAGTACAAACAATAAAACTATGGAATGAAAATAATAATAATAAAAACAGATACTTAGTAAATAAATTGATAAGTAAATGAAACTAATAGTAAATAGCTTCTTAGAAAATACTTTGAAACAGATAAATATTTTCAGAAAGTTGACACAAATTTCTTAGTTAAGAGAAATTTCCTAATAATATTAAAATTCTGACATTCTCTAGAGTCTAAATAAAAGAGATTACAGTAATTGCTACTATAGTATTCTCCTGATCATTACTCTCAGCTCAGAGGATAACAAGCTAGTAAGCTCAACAAGCATACCTAGAGGTTACTCTTTAATACTGTATCTACAGATACTAATGCTAAAACATGTGATAATGATGAAGGTGGTATGGTATGGTATTTCCCAGCATGGGTCCCTAAAAAGAAACACTAAGGCTGCTGGTAAGGTGGGTGGCAAGCAGGTAGTGTGTACATACTTTGACTCAGAGCTCTGCTGATTTGTGCATGCTGATTGTCATAGTTTAACACATTGTCTGCTTTTAAGGCCCCCCTCTCTCCTTCTTTCTTCTTCCTATTGTCTCTATCATTACTAGCCTTCCTCTTTTATATATATAAGTATACACAATGTATTTATATCTGTAACATACATACAAACAACCAAAAAAAAAAACAGTAACAAAAGCAAACAATGTGAAGAGATGTAAAGACAAACAAAACATCTGATTCCAACTACTTAACTGGTACAGTCAACGTTCAATAAATGATGTATGATGTATTTTGTGTACGTCAGTCAGGGATAGGAATGTAGAACGTATAGTGTATAAAAGACAAAAAAATTGATGTATGTCAGAAAAAGGAGAGAAGAGAAGAAGAGAGGGAGGAAGGGTGGATTAAGTGATGTGTGGAATCTTAGAGTGTGTGCTCCTGTGAACGCAGGGAAGGAAGAAGTTGGAATAAGGTATGTGGGAGGAATGTAGGAGGAGGATGGAAATTTGAACTGTAAAAGTAAGAACCCGTGTATGTATGCTCAAACTCAAACTCAAACAAAAAAAAGTTATGCCAAAGACCAACCAGGAAAGAGACAAAATTTAGAAAAAGAGGAGAGAAAGAACGGAAAACCCCTAACAAAGAGAATATACACTCAACAAGCCTAGGAGAGGACTGGAGAAATCCAGAAAATTCAATCAGGCGAAACCGAACGTCGAAAACCAACAGTAAATAATACAACAAAAGAAAAAGAAGAATGAAAGATGGAACAAGAAAAACGAAAGAGAAGACAGAAGGCGAATAAGAATACAATCAATATATGTAAGCAAACGATTGTACGTATGCGTACGTGTGTGTATGCGTGTCGATATAAAGATCTGTGTAGTGTCCTTGACTCGAACGAAACTGAAAAAGTCAAAGTTTTCAAAGTCGAAGCTGACGTTGAAGTCAAAGTCAAAAGGGTGGAAGTTCGGGGGAAAAGGGTCCAAAGAAGAACGCAGACCAAACAAAATCAAAGTATGAGGAAGGAGACGAGAGGTAAAGATAGAGAAACGTTCTCAGATCTTTAAATCCTCAAATCCGGAGAGGGGGTAAAGGAGATAAGTCAAGTTGACAAGGTCATAATTGAAATAAGGTATGTCGAACTGATAACTCTCGCGTGTTGCATAGACCGAATCGTACGTATAATTTCCTCGTGTTGAATCGGCCTCGGTACCGAGCCCACCCTGGTAGTGCAATTATAATTCCAGGATCCGATCTCCAAGAACCAAGGTGCCCAAGGATCCCGTCTATCCGATCATAGAAGGAGGGGCAGGATATCCGAGATAACTGTGATCACATCCGCCTGTCCATGCACGTATACGTCGCCTAAGTTTGTCCTCCTGCAAACCACGCCACCTTCGTAGTAACAATACTCGTAATAAACGCATTGTGTTGTCCTCAACTTCTCGTGTCCCTGTCTTGCTCTTTGTCAAAATCATCATTCCCATCCTCGCCTCGCTTACTTCGTTTTGTATATAAAACCAGATACACCCGTTCGAACCCTGGGGGAGGGAGAGACTCAAAGACAGAACATCCCCGGAATAGCCGCACACAACCAATCAAGCCTCCACAGTGCAAGCCGTCGGTTCTCTTCCCAACACCTCGTACACACCACCGCCTTCTCTCCATTCCCTCCGTTCCCTCCACTTCCGTTTTCTTTGCCCTTCCCACTACCAGGAGGACCATCCATCTCCACTTCCCCTCCCAGTGTTAAACCAGGAGAGCCGGAATAACCTAGTAGATCTTCTGAACCGTGACCATGTATCTGGGATAAATACTGCTGCCTCGGTAACGTAGCCAACCGATGTAACTCCCTCGCAAGCCACGTCCCCCAAGCCCTCCTCTGGCCCATCCCGTTCGTCGGTGCCAATCTCGTGCGCCATAAGCCCTCTAGAGCAGTCCTACAAGTCGCGGTATGGGGACAAAATGTGAAATGCGGGGTACGTTGAGGGGGAGGCGTCGAGACACCGTCAGAGTTTAGGTTGTTAGAGAAGAACCCGAACGAGATGGTCATCGAGGACATCGAGAACGCAGAGGACGAAGATGGCAACGCAGAGAACGACGAGAACGAAGAAGACGGCGGGACAGAAGCCGCAGGCTGGTATAATCCCGAACTGGATGGCCCAGAGTCCGACGAGACAGAGACGAGCGTAACAGAAGTCGTCCCCGAGACAGTCGACAACGGCGGGGAAGGTATCGCCGGTGGAACATTATTATCTGCGGCGGATACCCTTGGCGAGGGCGAAGGTGCGGGGGAGAGTGGGAACCTCGTGTTCCCGTTAATCCCAACCCCGCTTCCTATTCCACGGATAGCCAGCTCATCTCCCGGTCCTATATCACCTTCATCCTCCCCACTCCGCATAGTCGCCCCAACAACCAAAGGACACGCAATAATCTCCACAAGCACATCCTGCAAGGCCTCTCTCCCCGCAACAAGTCTCCTCAAATCAGTCGGGTCAAGAACCAAATGTGCTCGGCCACCGTCTGTCCCTCCCGCTTCCGCTCCAGATGTCAGATTACTAGAGGAGTTGAGTCCAGTAGGGTGGGTAGTGGTGACGCTGGGGAAAGCAGGAGATCGCATGCTCGAAACAGCGTTGGGACCGGGACAATGCACCGGACTCGGTCGCCATCGTTGTACCGAGAGCGCATAGAATGCCGCGGGGAGGATCTCTGGTACGTCGCATGCTCGAGCAAGCGCGATGGCGTCTGTACACACGTCGTTTAGTTTCTCAATCGATACTCAACTCGCAAACAAGATGGAACTCCCGAAGAAAGGGAAGGAGGGGTGACGAATAACACTGATATTCTGCGGACGGACGATAGAGAAGGTAAAGAGATAAAGAAACATACCTGCAGCATGCGGCAACGCAACCGGGGCCATCCTTTCAATATTACTCGGCCAAGTCGTCCTCAACTGCGCAATCGTCCATTCTCTCAATTGGCGCAAGCCATACCGCGTCGATATACGCAGCGCGCTTGATAGCGTATCAAATACCATCGGTCGAACTTGGAAACTCCTATAAACCATACCAAATACCATACACCAAATCAAGGAATGAAAAATAAATTGATTCATAGATCGTCAGTAACTTGCAAACACCAGGAAGTTGGCGAAGGACGACGACTTACATAGGTTCATAAATCGCCTCAAGCGCAACATTCCAATCACGCGGTGTATCTCCCTCTAACCTGATAGCAGGACATCCTCCCGCATATTCACACTCATCTTCACCTTCACCATCCCTTTCCCTCCTTGCACGTCTGCCCTCCTCACGACACCTTCTATCGAACATCGACGTAGGCGTCTTACTCTCCGAGACATGCCCACGTCCCGAAGCAAGTCGAACAGCAATTTCCCTCGCAGCGCGTGCACTGTCCTCCTTCGTGGGACTGTCAAGAAGTGGAGAAGAAAGGAGAGAAGCAAATGCGGAAGAGGCGAGTGCGAGACGCGCAGCGTGTATCCGGAAGGCTGACGTACTCGGGGGAGGCGATTCGTGACGAGAATATATCGAACTCACAGACGAAGAGGGCGTGTGAGACGAAGGTCTCGAAGGCGGACGTGAGGAAGCTGGTGCGAAGGGAGTCGACGCCGATGACACTATAGAGTTCGACGCAAGGGACGAAGAGACGGGGTTGGTCGAAACGAATACGACGAGGTCGCCGTCATCAAACCAGAAGGGCTGCGGCAGAGAGGGGTTGAACGCAAAGGTAGAGGAAGACGTAGTCGCGGAACCATTTGACGGTGGGGAAGAAGGGAACGGGGAACCCGAAGACGAGGTCGAGCCCGACGATTGAAACCGAGAGTAGGAGGGTCGCGGGAGCGGCGAGAGGGACATGCGCGTGGACATCGTGTTCTCCTGCTCGCGTTCTGGGGTGAGTGTATGCGCATACTTCTTCTGCACCCGTCCGCGTTCCTTCCTCGCGTCGTCGTCTTCTTCTCCAAGCGCCGTCGCCGACGACGAACGAGACCTAGACATCCTTATATCCCCCACAACATCAACGTCGCCGTCCTCGACAATACCCAAATTCCCATCGTCTATCCGCGCTCGCTTATACGGACGCCGTCCATCACGCTCACGCTCCGCAGTGCAGTCATCTGTCACCCTCAAACCTCTCTGCTTACCTGAAGTACCGGCATTCATTTTCGCGTTATTCCTCCGTGATCTCTTTCCGGGTACATAAGCACCCCCGACTTCATCATCCGATTCCGATCCGAATTCACAGTCGGATGAGCCTAGGGCGAGCGTAGACTCGCTGGACGGCATCCCGTGTTTGAGGGTTGCTGGGGACAGACGTGAGGTGGACGAAGACGAAGACGAAGACATGTCATAGGACGTAGGGGTAAGAGCGGTCGATTGGTCGATTGGTAAGGGTACGTTCGCAGCGGTGTTCTCCACAGGAGCATGTGAGAGGAGTGGCGTGGACACAGGCATGTTGTTCGTTATTGAAGGAGGACGGTCTGGGTTTGTATTGAAAGAGGGGTATGCCGTAAGGGTGGTGATTCTATGCTTCTGCGTCTGCTGTTGCGTCTGCTGTTGCACGGGACTGGAGAGAACGAGGTCTCCGTCCGCGTCTACGATGGGCTTAGTATTCGTGTCGCACTGCTGGAGCGTGTGTGAGGGGAAGAGGTGAGAATACTCTGGGGACACTGGCATTTCCAAGCTAAGTGAGACTTGCAGCAGGGGGCAGCGCGTCCAAGGAGAACCTAATGCAAGTCGCAGAGACGCGTCGTGCGTTTGAGTGTTTAATTATTTCACGTTGAAGAGCAGTGCAGCTAGGAGTTTAAGAGAGGAGTCGGAAAGGGCAAGGACACCCTGGAGGTTGGTGCAGCCGTAGCGTCGTTGTGGACAGAAACAGAGAGAGAGAGAGAGACGAGGGGCACTAGAGAGGCAGGAAGGACTGGAAGTGTATTGGTGGGTGACGTTCGAGGGTAGCTGACCACGCACGTTCTAGACCGTCTGCTCTAGACTTCGCAACTGAGATATCTCATTCACTCGCTTAGCTAAGACGTAATCATCACGTACCCTCGCCTCTCTCCACTCGTCCAGACCACTCCATCACATCTATCAATTTCCGCGCCATCCTTTCCATCGTCCTCTTCATATCTCGTGCTTCTCAGTCGCCAATCCCGCCATACCTCATCAGGTGATTCATTTCACTCATCAGCACAGTTGCACGCCTTTATCTCCGTCTCGATCGTAACGAATCTATAATTCGATCAATGCTTCAACCCACCAATAGAAGGCATTCTTCAACAAGAGTAAATATAACGAAAGCGGCAACTGACCTGAATGTTATTCCAAGGCAACATATATCTTATGAGTACCAGTTACACTCATCATAAAATTCATATTGAATCAATTGATACATCTCACCTATCATATCTGCTATGTACAATACTTTGCATATCCTTTAGTCTCTGTCTCTGCTATAATTCATGCATAAATTGATAAATCATACAACGTATGCAACTAGTGCCAGACTGCTAGTTGCCAAGTACGGTAGTACAGTGCAAAGCAAACATGTTGCAATGCCAATAAAAGGCATCCTTCTATGAGACTATGCAAGCGAGAATACAAGGTAACAAGTTGAAGGTCAACAACCAAACTTGACATCAACACATCATACAAGTTTAGGTCATAGCCAGCCCACAACAAGGCTCAAACAATGTATCCCATCGCAAAAGTTGGAGGCTGAGAAATATTTATATTAAGGATAAAAAGTTATATGAACGTGCAGTAGTTCAAAATGAAATCAAAGACAAGTTATTATTTCGGGAATTCCAGTCTCAAATACCTAATCTCTACACCGTTACAAAGTACACCCCCTCTCGCTCATCTATTCGTAGATGCTACTACTATTTCTTCTTCTTCCCTTTCTTCTTCTTAACCCCACCCCCACTCACACCACCGTTATTATTAGCCACACCCACCCCTACACCACCTGCACCACCTGTACCACCACTACTAATAATACCCCCAGGCACAGGCGTACCCGATCGCGACGCTTCCCGCTCTCCTTCCCCACCTAGACGTTCTTGAACTTTACCCGCAGTAGTAGTAGTAGTAGTACCCGGACCCGGCGAACCGCTTGAAGAAACGTTCTGCATCCGACGCATCATCGAATAGTTCAGCGCCTCGAACCTGTTTAGGTATATCGACGAGTGGGTTTTGTATTTTAGACACTGTTGTTCGTAGTGAAGTCACTGTTAGTACCGATAACACCGATCTATATGGATTGAGGGGTATATGGAGATAGAGATGGAGATGGGAAGTGGATGGGGATAGGGATAGCGATGACGTGATGCCGTAACCATTAATAACAGACTCATGATGAGAGGGTGCGATTATATTTATCATTGCCCTCATTATCCAAATTTAATTCGACAGGTGGAAGGGAGGGTAGGGCACGGTTGAGCGTGGTGTAAGTGATATCACGTTGCAATCATCACTCGTCACCGGTGTTCGTCGGAGAGGTCGGGAAAAAAAGAAGACGAAACGAATAGACAATGAAGAAAAAAATGAGATGAAAATGAAGGATGAGAACGTACTGTTACGTCGTCTGTTATTTTCAACACTAGCTTCCCCTCTGACGGTTTCCACTTGACGCAGTAACGTGTCTGTGTTTACGCATTTACGTATGGCCGTCGGCAACCCCAGCCAATTTGTTCGTAGAGGGGGTGTAGAGATATGTAGAGACATGTGCGATGTTTTGGTAGGGACGACCCGTCATACCAACCAACCATCCCAACATTTCCGCATATACCAGACAACGACCAATTGAGACCAGCCGACCAACAGCAATCCAAGCCAAGAGAAATTTTGAGACAAAATCCGAATCGTACCACCAGAATGACAATTAGGATTAAGTTTATTGAATTAAGGAGAAAAAGAAGAAATGATCGTCAGCGCATGTAACACGCAAAGCTGGTGAAAAACATGTAACATACACGTTCGGGAGCCTGCTCGTACAACGCCTCCACAGCACTCTGATACTCAGGCCATGAATGGATGTAGACCATCTCAGTCCCTAGTTATACGTATCTTGACAATCTTCTGATTTTGGGTATACAGAAACGTCTTGTACTGTCTCGTGCGTGCTTGTTCCTTTACGGTTTCTCTGTTAGATAGAACCAGCAACAGTTGTTGGGTGGCAAAAGCGAGGCCACAGCAAGATGAGTAAAGAGTCTAGACTTGAGCTTGTCGAGATGAGATAACTGAGTCTATCGGTCGTGCATCACAAGTCCCATGCACGTAAAATCAAATGGCATGCCTTATCTTCACACGTGACGCGATTTGTGATTTATCGGCATACTCCGATTAACCGACAAAGACTCGGGTGTCTTTCTGACCTTTCAAACTTCTTTCTTCACAAATTTCACTATCTCAACGCAGCAAGCTGTCCCATTCGTGTATGTTATTTGAATATAGGGGAGAAGACACGCGTCACAGAACAAGTCGAGATCATCTTAGATCCCAGTTCATACTCAGTTTTGTCGGAACGGGTCAACGCTACTAAACGAACCATACAGAACTACACATTGCATTATACACAGAATTAGTGTAAGTGGAGCGGTATATACACAGATCTACTACTTAATCCCCTATTCTCCAGCTCGAATCCTTTAATTCTCGAGTCCTTTAATTTTCGAACTCCCAAGAGCCCTGCAGAAACGGGACTTTACCCTTAGTCCAGTCCGTATTCGTACCATCAGGCATGACTTTGTCGTACAGCGCTGGTGACAGGTAGGCATCGGGACAGGTCATACACTACCATTATCATATGCGCATACACATAAGTCAATCATGCGTAAATGTACGTGTAGAGAGAAGAAGTATACGTACCTTATCAACGAATTGGCCCATTGCTGACCTGTTACCGACTGTGATTATAATGTTCTTTTTGCAGTTGGGATCCTCGATGTTATTGCCGTAGTACTAGATAATTAGCAAAAGCAGATAAGGTAAGAGCCAGATGGAGAGTGTTACGGCGATAATTACTCACGTCTATGTTGAGTGACACTTGCTAATGTACCAACAGATTTTGGAGAAGCCGTCAAACAAGTACTCGGTAATGAAAAATACTAGACTCACTGGAATGTCATTCGATATCTCTACTTCACAAGCCCCCATCCTATTCACAAGCAACGTCAATTACCCATCAGTCCTACGTCACAAAGTCCGACAGGCGCCAGATGGAAACTTGTAAGTGATATTAATGCAGAAACTTACATGTTTGGGATAGGAGAGTCGAAATCCCATCTTGCAAAACCCCCTTTCGTTGTATCTGTTCGTTTGTATATGACTTTACTTGTAGTCGTGAGTGCCACTAGGAGGGAGAGTAATGTAACTGAGAGAGCTATCTTCAAGATGCCAGATTGAATGGTCTGCATTTGTCCTTTGTGATAGTGTAATACTTTGAAATAAAAGTGAGCCTTGAACTTGTGTACTTAGTCTATTTACTGAAAAATAATTAGTCTATATGTATTGGTGTGCTAAAACGGAGTGAGGAAAGGCGTATATAATAGTTGGCAATAATTTCCCATGACAACACTTTGCGCTAGCCACGAAGCTCTGATGAAGCATTTCCTTGCAAAGGATCCTCGATTTCTCTGATACGTTCTTCTGGCGATACTTGGAGTCCAGCTCGATCTTCGCATGTACCTTTATTACTTTCCAGTCTGACACACACAACGAACTTCAATATTGACGCTCACCGCAGATTGTTGGTACCCACATTAACTCAGCTCCGCTGGATAGGCGTTGCAGAGCAAACTGAAGGCTATTGAGACGCCACACAAGTTTACAGACAGGGGATAAAGCTGTATGTCCCTACGAGACCTCGATGACACAAACATCCCAGACACTTGCCATCCATGATACAATTGCAAATCATATTCATCTGCATCACACAAGCAGAATAGGACTACTATTGTGCACACAAAATCAGAAGGCGTATATCATATTACTACTTGACCCGGAACAGCCAAAGTTCCTTGACCTTAGAAATTAATCATCAAACTCCCAAGTACCATGCAACAACGGGACAGCACCCTTTAAATAGTCTGTGTTCGTGCCATCTGGCATAACGGCTTTGTACAGGGCCGGAGAAATGTCGGCATCGTAACAGCTTGTACACTAGTATCATAAATACATAAGTAAGTCGTGTATGTTCTCCCAATATAGACACAAGTGCTGAGGATTGGAGAAAGTCATACCTTGTCAACAAATTGTCCCTTTGCTGACTTTCCGCCAACTTTGATCGTAATGTTCTTCTTGCAGTGAGGGTTCTGAAAGGCGTCGCCATAGTACTAGGAAATTAGCGCAATAGAGGGAAAATTAGACGATTGGCATAACAGTGAAAAAATCCATACGAGAGAATGAATAACAAGGACAACTCACTTCTACATTAAGCGTAACTTGCTGATATACGAGAGACACAGAACGTTATTAAGCATATCCTCGAGTGAACTATCCAGCGAGTGCTGAATGATTACAGTCTGAAACTTACATATTCTGTATTTGAAATCTCTACACCGCAAGCTCCAAGCCTATTTTTAAGGAAGCAATCAGTTTGTAAATAGTTTTTTTCTCAAAGTCCGAGAGGCAGGATAGAAAGATGTGTACAGTATTGATGATGGAACTTACAATCCTTCAAACTCAGAACTATACTCCAGATTTCTGAAAGTTCCTGTCTTGGAGTCGCCTCGTTTGTGCACAAATGTGCTTGTAGAGGTTGCGACTAAAAGAAGGGAGAGGATTATCAGTGACAGGATAACCTTGCTAGCCTGAAGATAAATGGTGTTTGTTGTCCTTGTCATTTTAAATGAATGTGCCTTGAAGCTATATGATCGGATGGTTCAATGAAAAAATCAGTGTAGTGCTCGTATATGCGTACAGAATTATGTCCTGTATGTTAGAAAGGAAGGGGAGAGCATACTAATTGATGGTATTTCACAATGCAATACTTTTCATCAATGATGGAACCCGTTACGAAAGCAGCTGCAAAGGAGCTCTGATCAACTATTGACTGGGATGTCTAGTTTCAGAGACTTAAAGTTTCTGTCGTTAAAACACAATTTTCGACATTGTCTCGTCTTAATCCTGCTCAAAACAAATAGCTACAGCCAAATATTCATAAAATGAGAGTACTACCAATAAAATATCATAATGTGGAGCTGCTAATTTCTATGTCCATTCGTTGATCTAAGAGATATAATGCAGGTTGTAAAGCAAAGTACTTACAAAAAGAGGACGTGTCTGGGATTTTGTGCTGATAGCAATGTCAGAACTTCAGTTACATTGTTGCCATTATCTAAGCCCGGAGGATTATTTTGCATGTCCCGATAAATCTTATAAGTTAGAGCTATTGTTATATAGTACAGTAATCATAGAGCAATTTGAAAGGGTTTACTACATATGCTATGTCAGGAACTACCTCAAAGCAGCATAACAAATACAAGGCAACCGTTGTATCTCCCTTCAATATATCGTTCTCGCAAGAATTCTGCATTCAGAATTCATCAGATGGGAGCGCCAAATTCTGCTCACCAGTTGCATATCCAAGAGATCCACCTCCAGGGTTGGAAGCTGAAGTCCGCATAGATAAGGATCCACGCGTACGTTTTGAAATTAGACTACTAGTAAGAAGAATTATTGACAAGTAGGTGGGCACTAACTTGGATACGTCATAATGAAGTATCTTGACTGGTCTTGCAAGAAGTGCTCAATTGCACCACCATCAGACGTGGTCAGGTTTGGTGAGACTGCAAGCACAAAGAGATTCCTACGGCTTCCAGATGAGACATATAAATCGAAAGTGCACGACCTCAAATTATATAAGAACAGGAACAAAATGAGAGTAACACTTGAGTGGATCGCAATCGAAGATTGCACTCACAAAGATTTAGGTGAAGTACATTACATAGCTACAGATGTTTAATCTTGCATAACTCGGAGAAACAAAAATCACTCCTGAAACACGGGTCGCTATTAAGAGGCACAATATTTGTTAATACACATTCGTTATGCATAATTTAACTATGTGAAATCTGTCAGTGTTTACATTCCGTGAGCGGATATTACAAAATATGTTAGGCCAGAGTGTGCTTCTGTTTAGATAGATATCAACGAATTCGATGATATTGCTTACACTCCCGAAAATATAACTTATTTCTTCATCCATCCAAACTCACAGGCATTATCCTAATTAATTATGAGGCTGTTGTTGAGTATGCATAGAATCGTTATATTTCCAAATGTATCCAGAATACTACAGAGAGGTTGATATCTATAAAAGTAATGCTCACTGTTTAAGTCACACAGAAAGGATTGCATTTCGCTAATCGCCTTAAACTGTCTGTCTGTAATGGAATTACTTAAAGGAAAGGTAAAAAAGTAGAATAAAATTAAGAAAAACGAGAACACAACATATCTCAGAGTAAGTTGCTTATAGATATATTATTATATGGGCCCATTCCTGGTCGTTGTTAGAGGAGAACGACAGACTCGCTCTTCAAACGCCAGATATATCCTCATTGCTGCAGGCAGGAGCACCTGTGATACATTAGTTAAATTGACTACAGAGAATAGAAGGAAGACGAACCTTCAGCGAATTCAATGCCACTTAGACTCCTGGGTCTGTAATTTGTTCCTCCATTTACCCCCATCTCACCCGCCTCCTTCAAATTGATTAGAAGGTGGCTTCCAAGGATACACAAAAGTGCTGGGTCCCCCATCGCGTCCAGAAGATATGAGACAAAGACACTGGAGTCTTTAATCTGGATTTGTACTATCTGTGTCACAGAACAAAATATGACACTGCATTCATTAGTTTGATATTTGAGACTTGCTCTGTAATGTGTCACTTACAAGCCATGATACAAGACTTGGTCTTCAATGACAATTTTAACAAGGTGAAAATCCTTAAACCCGGATGACATTCTCCAGTACTCTACACTCTTAAAGCTGGCTAGACATAGCAAGATCGTTCCGAATGTCATAGGGGGTATCCTGCTTCAAGTAAGCTAGAGTTTGCCAATGAAAGCATACAGCTATATCTTACCATGAGATAGTGAGTGTTGTTCGAAATTCCGAAAGATCAATAGTAGTGGCGCAAAAAGTAACACCCTGCATAAGACCTCCAAGCTCAACTAAATTGTGTAATTTCTCAGTCTGCTATTATAAAAGATGGTTGGAGGCCGTACTTCCTTGAAGTAAGCCATCATGGATGAGAATACCTAGCCCAATGCCTGCTTCCAAACAAAGGAGAATCTTAAGGAAGATTGAGAGCCTTTTATCTGTAATAATTCAATACAAATTCTTATCAGGAAATTCAGTGCACTTACCCTGATGATAGAGTGCCAATACACGAATGTGAAGGACGTCTATTAAACAGATGTATCATACAATGATGCTTCAAAGTTTGAGCTCATTACTCACAGTCTATAAGCACAATGTTTAATGTGTCTGATGACCAATTTAAATGGTTGTCGTGTTGAATGACACTTGTCCACTCACTGCATAGATTTCCCGTCCACATAGTCAATCGACCTTAGTAGGTATTCATCAAATAAGTATTTCGTATGAATGGACAAGAGGCACAACATACAACTGTAGATAACACATGTTTTAACAAACATAAGGTCAATACACTCCTTTGACAGCATTTAGTCGATTCTCACCTCAAAAGATCCACGTTGAAGCTCATTGCTACAATTAAATAGAATTGTCAACAATTTGCATGAACTGGTACATTAAATAATGGTCACTTACAGACAATGAAGCAAATTTCTCCAAGGATCCCAATATAACGATTCTAAACAAATAATGTCACAATTAGCTTGTGTAATGGAATATTTTGACAGTGCTTACTGCAAAATAAATCAGACTTATAGGATTGCACGGTTTCCGCTTCATTGCTATTGTTAAGACATTTCCTATTAGAGCTGAATGGTAAGCTCACCCAAAAGTATTTTACCTAAAGCGGTAAAAAAAGAGCTACAAGTTAGTATATCTCAAACATGGTGCACAAACACATACTTCTTTGTCCATGTTGATAACTTGAATTTGTTGCATCTATTAGCAAAATTGTAGTTAGTTAATTGTAGTGTGCTTACAAGCACTGTAAACCAAGATAGTCAACATTGCCACTTCTAGGTACTGTTGCGTGACAGTGTCTGAGATAATTGATGGTACCAAATCCGGATCGACATATCCTAGGCCAGAACGTCTGCGGAAAGGATGGGAATCTCTATAGCCAAGTGTCTGTGTTGCCATTGAAAGTGAGTATAAAGAATCATATCTTCTACAGTACTTCTTATATAGTATAGGCTTACATGAAACTTAGTTTGTGATTGTAATCTGTCTGAGTGCATGATTCAACGTTCCAGAAAGCTTCTGATGAAACTAAATTTAGTATCTGAGTTGAGGTGTGTAGGAAGATTGTGTGTCTGAGATTATGATGGAACAGAATGGATTTGATTGACCTTAGCATTTGCAAAGAGGCACAATATTATAGAAGGAAAGAGCAATGTGTGTTAGATCTGTTTAGAGGACAAGAACCTCCTTCAGCGATCTGTTGCAGCACAGTTGGGGGTTGGTATACAGTTTTAACGTACTTGATTACTAAGCAGCTGCTCTAGCAACTCACTCTCTGCATCAGTCATTCTAGACAGATTACAATTGCTTTCAGCCTCAATCAAAAAGTGTATATTTGAAACAACTCTTCATCTTCCACAGTTTCAGCTTCCTGTAAATCAGTTTCTAGTATCATCCATACCTCAGGTCCAGCCTCAGCTGCTGCCACTCTCCTGTGCAAAATTTGCTTGTTATTCTCAACAAACCACAGCTCTCACATCTGCACTTGAAACTTTAATTGAAACCTGTCAACATAAACCTTGTCTTATTGTAATACAATCCAAGCAGATATCCATCACAATGCGAGAGTCAGGTCAAAAAGGACTCATCTTATAACTACTCTACAAGAAGTACACTTGTAAGTACTCGTAATCGTACTCCATCACAAAATGTTAAGAAGTCGGAAGAAGACAATTAGACAGGCAGAGTCATTATGCTTCTCAGGAGCAAGTCGTAATGATTTGTTTTAGGTGGGACAAAGGGATAGTACAATGGGAAGGGAACGATAAGCTGGAGAAAGGAAGGTACAAGCAAGCAAGCGAATAAACGAATACCCCAAAGTAATCGCCCAAATAAAGTGAGAACAAGCACAAGTCATCTCAACCTCAATCCTTCTCCCTATTCTCATCAACATGACGTTCCGCAACAAGATCCCCACCCTCCTCCTCATTCAACTCATTCAACCTCTCCTCATCAGCGTCCAAATGCCTAAACGTTAACCAGAACCCAACGCCCGCAACAGCCGCAAGTACGCCCATCACACCGTAATTCCACACCAAAAGTGGATCAGTCGATAGACTAACAAACGCTTCTCCGAGTGCACTCGAAATAGCGCTCATGAAGAGGTTAATAGCCATAACGACAGACCGCATGTTCTTCGGTGCTTTCGTGAATGCGTATTCGAGACTTGTGATGCTGGCGAAGATCTCGGAGAACGCGATAAGGACGTATGAACCTGTTTGGATCCAGACGTTGAGAGGAGAGACGAGTGCGTTACCATCGGCATCTTTACACGTCGCTGCACTGTATCCACATGGGTTGGTTTTGTAGATATAGTGCTGTACGACAGCTGCCCAGACCATCGCGGCTGCGCCAGTGAAGAACCCAGCTGTGATGCGTTTGAGCGGGGTGAAGCGGATACCGTAGCGTACGAGGGCCGGGTAGATGAAGAGATCGCAGATGGGGATGAAGATGATGAGTGCGAAGGGGTCGAGGTTGCTTAGTACGTCGTTGGGTAGACCATGTGTGCTCATGGTAGCAGCTTGGGAGGTAAGGTTGTTGTTCAACTGGTTGTATGTGAGCCCTGAACATCCAATTCGTTAGCTCCATTTCCTTTACTTATTTAGACAGTTATAAAAGGTATAGCTTACAGTAAATTGGGATCCAAATGAACACCTCGCACGCCTTGAAGCCTCTTCGGACCTCATCGACCCACTTGTCGTCCCAGGTCATCCAACCCGGTCGCACACTTTCCGAACCACCGTGCTCTTTCACGTAGTTAGTTGGCTTGGCACGATCCCAGAAGCCTGGCGCCTTCAAGTTGCGAATGGTAGTGAATGGATTCCAGGACCAGCGACCCTTGGCGGCTGTGCGGAAAACGCGAAGAGAAGCAGGAAGCACAGATCCTTGTGGAGGAGTGCGCACGTAGCGATTTCGCCCGTACAACATGACCAATGGCGCAGTGAGGAAGACAATTGTCGGGAGAAGGAACGCAAGCCAGAATCCGACATACTACAAAGACACGGAAGAATTTGCGGGTCAGTTCAATATTACCTAAAGAGGCGAATATCAAACAAGTAATCACACCTTCTCAGAGTAGGTCATGCCGAGCTGCCCGACGAGCGAACCAATATTGATGAAAAGATAGAAGTACATGTATATGCGCGCATATGTCATGTTCGGGTCGACGATTACGCGCTCGCCGGATTTCTTCGTACGGACGTGCGTCTTGAGCGTATACTGCTCCGCAATGAGTGGAGAGATGTTACTCTTGAAACCACCTGTGCCTGCGCCCATAATGACCAGAGCAATGCAGAAACATGCAAGTGCACCATGAGGATGTGCAATGACTGGTGGGAGCGATGAAACTATTAGGAGGATGTGTCCGACAATAGCAACTCCTATTGCCCCACATATCGTGCGGAAACGTCTTGAGGCTGGATGATCAGATACGTTAAGTATCTGGATCTGGCAGAGCACTTACCCGAAATACGTGTCAGCAAGGTAAGCACCTGTGTATATGCACCGTATTAGTTTAAAAGGCAACTAATAGGACTAACAGCGTCGGGATAACGTACCATACAACGGAGTGACATATGCCCAGAAGGAGTTAAAGGTCGTAAGGCCGGTGGAGGCTTGTTGGCCCATGCCAAGTGCTCCACCTAGAGATTCAAGAGATTCAATCAAGCACACGATGTCAACATTATCAGTACTCAAAACAGAAAACGCTCCCGATCAGGGGAAAAACGCACTCTGGCCATCTGCACCGCCGGCACCAGTCTTGGAATTTGGTGGGAGCGGCTGCTGGATGAAGTTGGTGAAAACGATGACCGTGCCGTAGTACGAGAAGCGCTCGGCTAATTCCACGTAGGCGATCAGATAGGTGTTCCAGTTAAGACGGCCGGAGACCCGTCGGAGGGTAAGCCTGTCCTCTTTGGTGGGCGCGGGCAAGTCATTGTCGACCTGGCCAGCAGTTAAAGAGTGCTGGTCGAGCGAATCGGTCGGGGTCATCTTCTTCTCTGCCTCGTACTCATCGCGGTTTGCCTCCGCAAGTCCCTGTATGATAGCGTCGTCACCTTGGTTCGGCATGTTTGTCTTGTCTTGACTCTGGCTTGACTTTGTCGGGCGACGACTTGGCGACTTGGACGGCGAAGAGGGCGTTTGGCTTGCTAAGGGGGGCCGAGAGACTGGTCAGGCGACAGGAGAGGAACGTATCGAAGACGGGGTATTTTATAGTTCAGTGTCATCGAATTGATAATTCATATGGATACGGTTCTTCTTCGTATCTGGTGTCTCCATGTGCTTCGTTTTGACGGTACCTACCAAGCCCCGTCTCCCGTCCCGGCTCCTTCCCATTCCAACACGCAGCCGACTTATCTCTCCGTTCGCCGTCGTACGGCGTCAGATGATGACGAGTCTCCGCAACCGCTCCGCATCCATCGGCCACTCCGAAAAATAGCTCATCCTTGATGCAAGAACATCGTAAAATGAGGATATCCTAAAAAATTTAAAATTAGCGCCTTATCGCCACTAGGCTCGCGACATACGCATCAAGGATTGAACAAAACCATATTCGGCATGGCCAGCCCTCCAATGGTATGTGAGGCATATGTGCACCATGCACAAGGGCATGAGGAGCATCACGACATCAAGGTCTAACCCGCCCGACTGTATCACCGGTTCCGTCTTCCACATGGTTCTCCAATTCATTTCAATTCACTCGAAACTCATTGTCCATTGATACACATATGCTTTATCAAGTGGGCCTCTTCGGTCAACCCTTGTAAGTCCCGTACGCCGGTACGCGTCTCCGTGCACCGCTTTAAATCGACCATAGGCTTTCTGGACGATGTCCTTTGGGAGGCTGGCAGATATGTTGCGAAGGAGTGTGTTCGGAACATATGGGCGAGCGACATATTCTGAGCGGAGCGTCATTTGAGTATTTGCAATTATCGGGACCCGGCACGCGATCTGGTTCACGGAAGAGAAAAGAAAATTGCGTGGGAACACTGCCACCCATTAGAGGGTAAATCATTCTTGCTACCCTAGCTGTACACATTCACTAATAAGGTAGACGAAAGATAAACTCGACAAGCTGTGACAGTAACGTGTCACGGACTCGCTTAACTAATTAGGAAGGACCCTAGCGGCGAAATTTACAAGAGGGCAAGGCAAAAAAAAATATTATCAGTTTTTTTTTGTTAAATATACATCTACATCTTATCTACAGTTTTCTGTAACAGTATATGTGATATGAGTACCTCTTACTGGCTCACTAAGCCTGCTTTCTGTTGAGACAATTATAGGATGTATTAATAATATTACGTAATTTCCGTATATGGGAGGTATTTGTCATAATGTTGTAGCCGAGGGCGGCGAAATTTGACAAGAATTTGCAGAATTTTTTTTTTGTGTGTGGCAAAATAACAATCAGGTCATTTAGAGCAAAAAATAGTCTTTTGGAAATAACTTGGTCATTTTTTATTTTTTTGAAAATCTGTTACATCATTCTGTAGAAAAGCATAATTCTAACAATTCTATGGTGCTACTTTGTGGATTTCAGCTCTGTGGTTGAACGAGTTTCCTTGTCATAGTTTGT